CAAATTGATATTCTAAGCATTCAAGGTTTTTTAAAGTTTTGAACCTTAAAAGAGAATTTGAGATTCAAAAAATGAAAGAATGGAAGGGATCAAGGATTATGTTGGCAAACCCACGACAATTGTCTACAAAATTAGGCTATTTGTTGAAACAATTCTTGTGAGTTTGCTTGAGAAGTTTGTGTGTACGATTTTTTCACTTGAGGGTTTCAAAGATCCCTAAAATTTCTGTTAATGAAATTTAATAACGCTTGGCGAACTATTGAGAAAAGGTGGACCAGTAGAGATGCGAAAACAAGTCAAGAGGCCTTTGTTGCGAAGACGCCAAATGAATCAACCCAAAAGAGAAATTTTTACCTTGTTGTATATGCAAGAAAAATAATCATGCTAGAAGGTTTATTGGCATAAAGAGAATGTCCCAAGTATTTTAATTGTAAAAGATATGAACATAAGTAAAAAAGATTGTAGGTTTAAAAAGGAGCAAGCAAATATGGCACAACAAAGAAGAAACTCTTTTCTGAAAATTGGAGAGAAGTGCTCCAAAAAAATGTTAATTAGTGAACGATATTGGTGAGAAGTGTATCAATCAATAATTGGTAGTATATGTCAAATGCAACAATAAAAATTTTCCAATCATTATCTGTATGGAGGTTCTCTCAAAAAATAATTGTAATTCTCTTCTACTAGATGGGGTCCTATAAAGACATGAAAATCAAAGTCAATGATATCCTATCTATTCTTCGCATATGACTTAACCCTAATGGCAACGCTAGCTAGAAGAACTTACATTGTCATGGTGTTGAGTATATAATCTTTCATCACATTTAGTAGAATTTCAATTTAATCTTCACTTTTCTAAATTTAAGATTATTTTCTCGAACACGCTATCTATCAAAGCAAGTCAAGAGTTTGGTAAATACCCGGGCTTCCCTATCTTCAGTAAGAGACCAACTCATAATTAAGGACTTTCAGTTATTGATAATCTTAATACAAAATTAGCTGAATGGAAGACCAACTATTGAACATGGCAGGTCGCACTAATTTGGCTAAATCATCTCTAAATACTATTCCGAATCATGTCCTTTCAAGTGTTTATTTGTCTTAGATTTTCATATCTCTTGCTTCTATCTCAGTGAAATTACGTCTTCAAGTTGATGTGGTCACTTCCTGATCATGAAGTCATTGGATTCAACACTTCACTACTACTTATACTTTTAAACGTAAAGGGAATTGTCACATTATGTTAGTCATCATATATGAGGAAAGCACTCTTNCATGGAGCAATAACTACTGCACTCGTCTTGCACTAAGTTGGAGGTGCACATGATATTTGGAAGTCCTTGCACATCCGCACATGTCTCTCAAGTTCAACTCGTCTCTGTCTCTAAATTCTAAATTTTTTTTCCCACTTTTAATCTACAATTGAAAAAATCCTACCAAGGATTGCAATAAAGCGATAAGTACTTCTTTATCCTTAATCAGAGATTTCAAGTTCGAGTCATGCATATGAAATGACCTTCATTAGACAGAGATTTACCCCCCAATGATGAACTTTCGGTATAAATTCGAATTTAGTCGGGTATCAATGCGAATACCGGACACCAAATCGAAAACTCCAAAGATCCTATGTATCTCGTGCTTAATGAGGACTTCAAGAACGTGTTAAACAAAATCATTTCTACACAAGTATATATGTAAGTGTAAATAATAGCAGAAGAAAAGTATTATTTTTCATCACATTTAGTAGAATTTCAATTTAATCTTCACTTTTCTAAATTTAAGATTATTTTCTCGAACACGCTATCTATCAAAGCAAGTCAAGAGTTTGGTAAATACCCGGGCTTCCCTATCTTCAGTAAGAGACCAACTCATAATTAAGGACTTTCAGTTATTGATAATCTTAATACAAAATTAGCTGAATGGAAGACCAACTATTGAACATGGCAGGTCGCACTAATTTGGCTAAATCATCTCTAAATACTATTCCGAATCATGTCCTTTCAAGTGTTTATTTGTCTTAGATTTTCATATCTCTTGCTTCTATCTCAGTGAAATTACGTCTTCAAGTTGATGTGGTCACTTCCTGATCATGAAGTCATTGGATTCAACACTTCACTACTACTTATACTTTTAAACGTAAAGGGAATTGTCACATTATGTTAGTCATCATATATGAGGAAAGCACTCTTATATGTACTCTATATAAAATCTCTATATTCATCATGAACATTAAGCCAACCAGTTCATGCAAAGATACTAGTATAAGAAAATATTCCAAACTTAGAACAAAAAAGATGTTTCAGTTAAAAGTACTGCTTCCAAATGAAATGATGGGGAAGAAGAAAGAGGAAGACAAACCCCAAGGATCAACAGTAGGGAAAACACTGAAAAGCTATATATAGGAATAAAGAAAGAAAAGAAAATATAAAGGGGTAAGTGTTAGAAGTCTCACGTCTGTGTGGGAAAGGTAATTGGTCTCCTTACATGATCTTGTCGGTCATCGCCTAACTAGAGGTTTCGAGTAAAATGGAAGAATATTTAATTTCGAGGAAGCCTCAAAACCATTTTCATTGCGGAGCCAATGTCCAATCTAAAGATGGAATCATTGGACAATTCAGTATTAAATTAACTTTAACAATGACAGGTAAGGCTTCAATGTTTTTAAGTTGTCATTAACAGAATTAAGTACCCATCATGTAGTAAGGCATTAAGGAATGTGTCATGTACTGGAATATTCGTGCATTAGGTTATGAAGAGAGTGTACTAGAATGTTTGAGCACTAGGTTATGTCCACGGATTCTACACAACAGTTCAAAGTGTTCAAAAGTACTTGGTGCAGCATTGAACAACATGAGTTGCGGTAGTGGTCCATATATCATCCATTTCTGAGTTTATGAGACAGTCAAAACAAATCTAATAAACCAGTAAGGATGTAACTTATATATAGAGCAAGTGCAAAGAATATTTATTCTATGAAAGTATTTTAACTTGCCTTAGCAGGTAACCTGCCACCAATACTGATCTTACTTTTTACGGACAGTTCTCGTTACCTTTTAGGTGACCTTTTCTTATTTATTTTTTTTAAGCCATTACCAAGGCTTGCGCCGCTGGTGTTGGGGGAGGTGGGGGGGGGGGTGGGGGGGTTTAGGTTCGACCCTACCATATCTATATATTCACATGCAAAAAATTACAAAAAGAGGAGGACATGGACCATAACCTCCGGAAGAGATGAGACTGGTGAATCAATCTTCAAAATAAGTTGGAAGAGAGAAGCCTATACAACTCTTCTATTGCTACCTGTGAATTCAACTTAAAAAGAAATTACTTTTGTTGTATTTTCTTCTAATACTAGGAAGCTGCCATTTGTCTAGTTGAAAATGTCCCTTCACCTCTTTCGGAAGTTGTTGAAAAGAGTAATAGAATGTACCATTTTCACTAGACGAGGCTAACTTAGCTAAGAAATCCGCCACTTAGGTGGCCTAATAACATACGAATTCATTTACCATGTCAGTGGATATAAGATAAATTAAAAATAAAAATAGACGTTCCTGCATAACTGCATATAGATTAGAGTTCCAACTTAGTTAGGTTTCTTTTGTGACGATGTGGACTAGTTAAACGAAATAAGAGTTTGGTAAATGACAGTATTTCAATATCACCTAGATGAAATATATATATGAAAGCAACCAAACCATGATTTAGCTGAGACATAACAAGAACTACCTGATTTGGTTTCTAATTTCCTTTTGTAGTAATGGAAGCATGACTAATTTGGAGGGATTTCTTCAAGACAGTCAAAGTTGATTCTTTTAATACAGTATATGGCATCTATATTACTCAAACTCTTTAAAAATGTCGTCTGGGTATATAGGATCCTCCAAAGATAGTATAATTTTTTTCTAGAGGATCCGATACGTGTGCAACAATATTTTTAGAGAGTCCAAACAACCTAGCATGACATACATGGATATCCAAACACTAAAGATTAACGAAGAAAAGAAAGAATATGAAGGATTTTATTGACAACAAAACGTTTCAATATTAAGTAAGTTGGGATCGATTGTATAAATTTTTACCGTTCGTGTCGATCTATTTAAGTTAAATTATTTTAGTGACAAACATAGTACTAACATTTTCCGAGAACACATGGTCTAGTACATATCTGCCCAAAAGATTCTCAAGGTTTGTTACAAAGGAAACAGCCCAAGAGTATGGCCTTCCTAAGCAAGACAGTAAGCATGAAATCAAGTACTAACTTGACAACTGGCTCCCAAAATTTGCTTTGAAGTACATATTAAATGAAGAAACTCAGTTCCCTTTCAACTTTGTCTGTTAAACATCCCTTAGTTTATAGTAATTAGTAGCTTTTGTCAGCTTATATATGCTTATTTTATCAAGTTTATGGGAAAGAATGACTCTGACGACTGTACTTTTAACGAAATATTTAAATTTTACACCACGTATAGGATGACGATGCATAATGGACAAGTTAAACTCAAGGAAATTATTCCCTTTTTGATTATCGCATGACGTGAACAAAACTTGGACGAAAAATTGAATATAGATCTTTATGTTGAGTGATTCATAAAATGCCACTCTCAACAGGAATCTCTTAACTAGGGTTAAGTTGCTAGGTAGATGGACAGTACCTAGCTTGGAGAAGCAAATTATGCTTAGGAAGGATCTCTTCATGAATTAGATGTTCACAAATGACAAGTCATTAGTTTTCTTATAATTTTGAACTTCAAAATGTCATTTTAATTAAGCAGTAAGTCATATAAAGAACTCTAAGAAAACCTATATATATCGTGTATAAAATAAATTCTGCTGAATAAGATGAGATCTGATGAAAAGAAGCAAGAAAATAGCACTTGATGACTATAAACAAATAATTGGGACTTAAGCTCAATCAAGATGTTTGACTTCTGATGGAAAATGAAGGGAAAAACTGGACACAAATAATTAATTAAAACCACAGAAAAGTAAGAAAGAGATGGTGGTACCTAGAGCTGGCAAATTCATAGAGCTTTCCTCTTGGAGAAAAAATAACCAAACCAACCTCAGCATCACAAAGTACTGAAAGTTCAAATGCTTTCTTTAGCAAACCATTTCTGCGTTTAGAGAAAGTAACTTGCCTGCTTGTCGCGTTCTCTATACGCCTCATCTGAGTTTTTCCTCTCACCATCTCTCTTCTGTACAAGATATTAACATCACCCAAATATAAAGAAGAAGATGTTAGTGCCAAATTAGAATACAAAACAAGAAAAGATATATATATATATATTTGGGCAAGTATAAGGAAGAAGATAAAGGAGAGCTGTTCCAATAGATGAAGAAAGAATTTTGTACAAAAAATATGAAAATCAAATTGAAAGGGTTAATTAGTGTATGTTGGAGGAGTAATGAGGACTTACAAAATTGGCAAAAAATCAGGAAGCTTTTTGGTTGCAGGTATGAGGAAATATAGAAGTGAAGCTAAAAAGGGGAAGTCCCAAATCTGATGTTTGTATGTGGAAGAACAACCTGAAAGGGTAATAGGTGCAAATTTTGCTCTTTTCTCAGCCCCAAATTGTGGTACTATATATTATCAAAATGGAAAGAAAGTGACAACGCCAAGTACTTTACTTTCCTTATTCTAAATTAGGATGTGATTTATATACACTATAGAGTAAATTATTTTTTATATTATCAGTATAATTTAAACTAATTTAACAAAAGATCTCTCTTATTTTTTTGGATAATTCACTTATTGTAAACAGCTACTCCATTTATAATTACTCTTTATCTAACCTACTAGTGTAAAAAATTGATATTATCAATGCACAAAAATTAAACGGTCCTTAGGTATAAATGGTGGGATATCCCAATCCCATGAGATTAGTTATCCCGCCTTCTATATGAGATAACTAATTTACCATTTTAGTATAAAAGAATTATCCCAAAATTAGCTAATACCTTAAACCAAATATAGGATAAAATAATCCCAAACTTTATCTCGGGATTATTATTCTTATCACATGTACTAAATGATCCCTAAGTATACTTTCTCTCTCTCCTTTTCTTGAAGTCCCCCCCCTCCCCCACCCCCACCCCCTGCCCCATTGAGAAAAAGAAAAGAAAGAAATAATTCAGAGAAAGACCAAAACATCATCTTTCATTACTTTATGCTAGTTTTGTAAACCTACAAACTTAACCCAAAAGAGAAAAAATGAGATGTAAAAGGATATTAGGCGTGTGCAGATATTAAACCATGTTTGGAGGGATATAGCCATCCAATAAGCAATATATTGCAAGAAGGAGAACTGAAATAAACAGTGATAACAATGGAAAGTTCGTACAACGTTAATTTACATCAATATGTCAATGTCAAAGGGGAGCAGTATGTACGTCCCAATGAGAAATCGAAAACGCATTACTTCTGTGAGGAGTTTTTAGTACTACTTTCCAGTATAGTAGCTGTTATAGTCTTGATGTGAAAACTCTGATCTATTTCCTTTCCTTTATTGTAGCTTTTTGTGGAGGTGAGAAGAGCGTACTGTGTCTCAGTGTCAAATGGCTGGCATTTCTTGATCATTTCATCATCAACTATCTTTTTCTTATTTTATTTTATTTTTTTGCGGAAAATATCTTCACTTTAGAGAGTAAGGGAATATACTATACTATAGTTTTTTTTTTTTTTTCCATAAACAGTAACAGAAGGGATTGTATTCTATGAGGGGGAATATTCTACTCTATTTTTGTAAAAGACTTCGCTAATTTTAGATCCAAAATAGGTTGATATTTTTACCATAGATACCAATTATTATAGCTTTTTATTCTTCTTTTGGCACAAGGACATTGGATTGATCGTTTGCACAACCGGTGTATTCATCATTGTTAATGTAAGACCCCGTAAATTTTATCGGGGTTTCGTGGTGCCAAGGTAGGCTAATACGTTTGAGGATTGTAGAAAATGGTACTGACTTTTTGGATTGTGCAATGCATTGGGGAGTTGGAAGAATGATTTTTGCAGAATATGGTATTTTCGGGGTCCACTATGCGACCGCAGAACCACTTCGCGGACCACAGAGCCGCCGCAGAACGCTACAGGAACAAAGCCAATTTTTGGAGGTCATTATGTGGCCCACTATGCAACCACGTAACTATTTCGCGGGTCGCACATCTGTCGCATAGTCTGCATGAAAATTTTCTGAGGGAGACTTTTGCGGTGCACTATGCGACCGCATAACTGTTCTGTAGGCCGCAGGACGGCCGCAGACTTGATCAGGACAACCCAGTTTTGGGACCATTTTTGCGGTCCACTTTGTGGATCGCACATTCGTCTTGCAGTCTGGTCTGCGAATGCAGACCCGGTTCGGAGGCTTAAGTTTGAGAAATTTTTATCCGGCCCCATTTTTATAAAACGAGTTTGGAGGTTATTTTGGTTGGGTCAAACACCTGTTTTAGAGAGAGGAGGAGTGCTTTAGAGAGAGAGGAGGAATCCCCAAGTGCTTTACTCATCAAGCCTTGCTCCAGTCTTGAAAATTTAAGGGAACCGCTCACTATAAAAACCACCTACCCGGATAAGTTCTTGTCTTACATCACCCATGCAAGTTTGTTTCGGGTCTAAGTGGGTCAGGGAGTAGAAGATATGGCATGCACGTTTCGATAGAGGGGTCTTGGAGGTTGGTGAATTACCCTGGATGAATTATTAGTTGATATGGCTTGTGGGGTGATGAAAATCTTACACTAGAACCTTGTAGTCAAATTTGCACACCTAGTGCTTGATAAAATGCCTAAATGGGCTAACATAAATCTCTCCCTAATTATGGTTCAATTTTGTCATGTCTCTAATTAGATTGAAGTCGCTAGGAGTTTCGCAACGTTATAGTAAATTAAGGAAAACTCAAGCGAGGTATGTTGGCTAAATTTCTCTTGTAGAGTCGAATTCCATGATGTTCTCGTGAGGTTCAAGTATGATGGTCTCAAGTTCCTAATCCCCATGTTCCGAGTAATGCCTAATATATTTAGTTATTCCAAATAAGCATTGTGTCAGAAATTATATGCTAACCATGTGCTTCTATTGCTCCTATCACATTATGCTCTCCTTCGGGAATGTGCTCAAGTATGGTTTATGTGTTAAAATGTTGTGACTTCAGTTCGTGTTTCAAACGCAAGTTTATTATACTTAATTTTGGAAGGAAAACTCAATGTGCTTAAGACTCATATTGCTCATATACATATTTAAAGTCTTGATTCTAAATGCTCTTATTGTTGATAACCTGTGATGATGCTTGAAAGTGAAAGAAGTGAATATGAGATATAAAATGTGGCCATTGTGCCAAGAATGAGAATTACACTTGTGGCCAATAGTGTCAATTGTTAGCTTCAAGGTTTCACGTATTAATTTTGATGATAACAAACTAACATAATTATTAATCAAAGAATATTTACTTGTGGTAATCATAATTTTGCACAGGTTTATTCAAGAAAGAAGATTCCGGTAAAGATCCAAACAAATATAGGAAAGAGAATATCATGTGAAGAATTTATCAAGGAAGATAATTTTCAGAGATTTAATCTCCAAGCGTCGTAGAAGGAATAATATTTGAAAGTCAAATTTCAAATATTGAATGGCTTACTACAATATCAGAAGAAGAATCTATGAAAATTATGGAAGGAAAGTTTTTATATATCTTGAAAGGAAAGTTACTAAAATCATGGAGAAAATCTATTATTTTGTGGAAGGAAGATACTATATGGAAGAGATACTACAAGGCCAAGGAAGAATATCTTTTTTATGGAAATAAAATATATTATGGGTATAGTACATTCTATATTATGGAAAGATATTATTTTTCAAGATCAAGCACTACTAGAAATCCGCTAAAAACCGACTAAATTTTTCGACCGACGTTGGTCGGTCAAAGAAAGCGACCAAAAACCATCCAGCTTGGACGGAAACTGGAAAAAAAATATTTTATGTTTTTTTTTAAAAGTAAATACCGACCAAAGTTGGTCGGTAAATTGGTCAACAAGTTGACCGAGCTGGTCAGACTTGCTTAGTCAAAGAAACTTTTGGATTACCGACCAACTTTGGTCGGTAATGTGGACCTAATTTTTTAAATTTTAATAATTATATTATTATTTAAATTGTTTTATAAAATTTAAAGAATTTATATTAAAATTACCGACCAGCGTTGGTCGGTTAATGCAGGGGAAGCATTTACCGACCAACTTTGGTTGGTATATTTTATTTTCTGGAAAATAACCGAACAAAGTTGGTCGGTTATTAGGTCAACATTGGTCAAAATTTTGAATCACTTTTATATTTACTATCTAAATAATATAAATGTAATCTATTAACACTTTTGTAATACAAATAATGAATACACTAACATATACTATAACATGCTATATATGTAGTTTAAGTGTAGCGACCCGACCGGTCGTTTTGATCTTTTGCATTTCGCTCGCCAATTCTCGGGCATGGCTATCCCCGTATTACGCATTGTGACTTATGTAAATCGTCGGTTTTGGTTTTCAGGTTAATCGGAATAGATATGGAAGGATGATTCTCATCTAGGAGCTTTAAATTTGAAAGGTTTGACTCAGTCTTGACTTGTTAGTATTTGATCTCGGATTTGGATTTTTATGATTTGGTTAGCTCCGTTAGGTAATTTGGGACTTAGGAGTGTGATTGGGACGTGTTTTAGAGGTTCGTAGTAGATTTAGGCTTGAATTGGCGAAATCGAAATTTTCGCATTTTCGGTTGGTAGGTGAGATTTTGATATAGGGGTCGGAATGGAATTCCGGAAGTTGAAATAGGTCCGTTGTGTCATTTGGGATGTATGTGCAAAATTTTCAGGTCATTCGGACGTGGTTTGATAGACTTTTTGATCAAAAGCGTAATTCGGAAGATTTTGAGAACCTTAGGCTTGAATCCGATGTGTTTTGGTTGATTTGATGTTGTTTGAGGTGTTTCGAAGATTGGTATAAGTTTGAATAGTAGTATCTGGCTTGTTGGTGCTTTTGGTTGAGGTCCCGGGGCCCTCGGGGTGATTTCAGATGATTGACGAAAGGTTTGGAGTTGAGTTGGGAAGCTGAAGTCATTTTGTTGCTGTCATAACCGCACCTGCGGTTGGGAGGCCGCAGGTGCGATGCCCGCAGAAGCGGAAGGCAGCAGCAGATGCGGCCAAATTAAAGGTTAGCTGAAACTGCAGAAGCGATCCAAGAGGCGCACCTGCGGTGGCGCAGGTGCGATATTTTAACTGCACATGCGGTATGGAGCTTTTAAGTGGAAACCGCAGGTGCGGTGGGATAGGCCGCAGAAGCGGAGAAAGGGCCGCAGGTGCGAAAACCCTGGGCCAGAAAGTATAAAAGATTTCCTTCGCGAATTTTTGATTTATTCCACCATTTCTAAGACGGCTTTGGAGCTTTTTAGGAGATTTTGAAGAGGGATTCAAAGGATATCGTTGGAGGTAAGATTTTTGAACCTACAAAACGATCCTATGGCATTATTTTACTGTTTTGGTCAACAATTAATGGGAATTAAGGGTTAAAAATTGGGAAACTAGGGCTTGAGAATTGGAGACCTTTGAGCAAGGGTTTGAGGGGTCAT